TGGGTCTTTTTATGAAAAAGGACTTAAATGCGGAGACTACTCGCTTCTTGCTTCTACTGGCAGAGACTATGACTATAGCGATTACTAAGAAAGCCATTTTGCCTAAATCACACAATATCTAAAGATGAAAATTCAACTAATGAGAACTTAACAGGTTGCCATTCGAATGCAAATGCACGACAGAAACATTCAAGTTTCAGAAAACCATCTTCAGAGAAACCAACCATCGATGTTAATTTCATATTTTTTTGAGGTTCAGTCCGCAAAAACATCTTTATGTGCAATACCCGGTATATCTTGTGAAGTTTTAAACAAGAAACTGATAACCTTTTGATTAGAAAGAAATATTTGCATGGATTATACTACTGATTATACTACAACGTATTTCCAATATATCTTAGTCGTATCAGCATGCCAAAACTCAATTCGACACAAGGCAATATTTAGGGCTAGGCACTTTTCTATAAATGTTCGATACCCTTCGAAATTAAGATGTACATTACAGAAACCATGCACCCAAACCATTTATGTGGACGTTTGGTGTAATGTTATATCTTCTCTAAATTTACTTCTTGACAAATTTATATTTTTGGGTTAGACTGTTTGTAATTGATATTTTGAAGACCACGAACTGTTCTTTGCTATAGAATCCAATCCACCGATTCGTTAATGGTGCTTGTGAAATTCGTAACCTTGTCTTATCGAAATGCTTTCTTCATTTTATGGAGAAATGGTTGGATTCCTTACAAGGACAGTGTACAGGATTTAGTAAAAAATAACTTCAAGTACGACTGTTGGTCAGGTTTAAAATTGACCAGAAATTTTTTATGTTTTTAAAACGAGAGCATCGCATCTCTTAGTATAAAAAGTTAAAGAAGACATAATTTTCTAATACATGACTCCAGAAATGCATGCTTCCTAAAACACAAAGAAAGTGGATATAAGTATGAGGTCGTTCAAAGGCCGACGTCCTGGCATTGATTGAATATATACTGCAAGATAATGAATAGGACGAACTAATCTATGTAATTCTTCATAATTAAAAGTAAACCTAAGGATTTTATGTAATATTTAATTGGGTAGACTAGATGCCAGTAAACAAAAAGCAAACAGGGAAAGCTGAGAGACCCCTCGCAGCTGTGTCAAGCAGCGGCAGAATACCAGCGAAACACCTGTCTGGGCCTTTTAGCTAGTACCTAGGCTGTTAGTATGCTGAGTTACAGATTAGATACTGTTGTGCAGACGAGAAAAGAAACAATATAGCGCTAGAAGAGGAATTTTATTCACGCGGCATTTTGCATTCACAGCACTCTACTCTCATTTTCCTAAACTGCTACCCTTTAGTGGTCATTCCAATGTTAGTAACCGTAACTCGTATGTCTTCAGAATTCGGTAACTGCCAACGGTCACTTAACTACATGGCCCTTTCCACGCCTCCTCTCTCGCCAAACCTCTAGTCCAGCTTCAACAAATCCTCACTGACGCGTAACCAGCCGCCCAATCCCCCCTCCCCCTATTTCCGAGACTAATTTGCATGCAATGACGAACGTAACTGACCGCATTTGTAGCTTTGACACCATCGCCATATAAATGCAATGGCCCGATAAAAGTTATCGAGAGCTTACGTCAATTGCTCATAGACTGCTTTTCTTTTGATATGAGCCAATGTTCTCATGTATGAAAAATACACTTGAATTTTGAAGTTATAGGAAATACTTGTTAATTCACCGAAGGAGGAATACTAAAGCGTCACTAGCGTAGAAATAATGTAGCCTTGAAAGGCAGAGCATTCTTCCTCCATTGTGTTGGAGTTGTATTTGTATATCCCTTAGATAAGAACTCGCTACATTAAAAGTTATTTCAAGAAGATGTATCGCGGTCGTTACATGGCAGTCTTTGGACAGTTGTCGTTATTACAAGGCAAGAATATTACTAGGAGCTTTTTAGGAACAGGCTGTGACGTCAGTCTTTGTAGCGGTGGCCTGAGGGTTAAATAGCCCCCAGTTAACCAGTCTGCGTTGATGGGAGCAATTTATGAGTCTAATTTATCACTCTGTTGTGGTCTTTGAAGATGCTCTCTTGCACTTTTCCAGAAGATTCGCACGTTCATCTTCCTTGCCACACCAGTTTTGTCTAGTTTTATCTAGTTAACTTACAATGCCACTTATTTGGCTAGCCAAGCTCAAACGTACAAAACGTCGGCCTTTTGAAACTCAGCCCCCATTTTTTCCCGCTCCCAGTCGCATCTAACTGTATAATGCATACATCGGTTGACCTATTACACCCAGTATACATCGATTATTACCCTTCTTTGTTTATTTGCAACACAACAATGAAGTCATTGAGGATAAGACGACTCGATCGCTGGGACAATACCTTTATGCGTCTGACGTTTCAACATCCGTCGCGGATTCATCATCAGAGACATCATCAGTGCATGACGCTAGCGCCGATTTGAACGAAATACAATTTTGACGACAATTTTGAGACTTATTGAAGGACGATTCTCCATGATGTTTGCAATTGTAGTCTACGCCAATTATGTACTGTTTGTGGTGTTATGGGATTTGCCTACCTAATTTTTTACGGAAATTTTTGGAATGATACTTTCGAAATAAAGCATACTTGTCTCTCTAGCAGTGCAACTAAGAAATGGACAAAATTAAAACTTCGTTGCCCAGAAAACGCAGTTCCAACCTAAACAATCGGCATTATTACATATAGAAAGTGGGTTCAAACGTAGAAACAAGAAAACTATTCACCTGATGTTTTGAATGCGCAGTCGAAACCGTTCCGAAAGTCAGGATTAGCGATCAATTATCCTTCTTTCCTAACCATTGACTGTGATTCACCTTTCCGCTTCAGTTCATATGTTTACAGACCCAGGTGGCTTTCTTTCTCAGAGATTTTTAACTTTTTACACCGCATACAAAAGCATACATGCTTTATGGATTAAATCAGTCTCGAACGCCAGTGTTGGTCGGTCAAAATGTTAAGGGATGCGTGAAATTTGACTTTTCTGCTAAAATGCTAACGCACTGAAAGAGCAGGGCAGTAGGGTTTTTAGTTGAAAGCAGTCCATGCATGACAGCGTGAAGGTGTCACCAAATTAATTTGCTGCAAGCGCCCCATTGGACAATGTAAGGGCTTCAAGGTCATCGTGCCAACGACAGACAGCTGCTTTCGTATTCTGCATAATCCGCACTTGCCATATTCCGCAGCTGCCACTCTGGTTAGACTTTGGTCACAATGACTGTCTGAAGTGGGCGTAAGTATTTTCAGTTCCACGCGTATGGCGTTAAGAGGAACAACTTGAGAGAATTTAACAAAGCGCCAATGAGCCCCATCGCGTATTTTCTGACCACTCGTTTGTCCTTATTTTTGCCTTCACATATTTTCTATTTTTGGTTGAATTTGAGTGTCTTCCAATGATATATACACAGAATTTTATCCCAGCTTTAGCCCCAAGAACGGTAAAAGCGTCATTCTCACTGTGATAAATGAAAAATCTCCTTTAATGGGGATATTAATTCCATGTATGTATATGCATATACTGAGTTGACAAAGGAATAAATGTGATTCATGTTTGTCTGTTTGAATCATTTAGAATCTTCAAAGTTGTGTACAGTACTAAAAACAATCCGTGACTCAGAAACGGAAAACGGTGCTTAGTCATCTTGTGCAGTGATCCGCGAATCATTCCCAAATCAACAAGGGAAATTTAGTGCCTTAAAGTTGGACTGATTGGTTTATTCAATGGGCCGAAAACGCACTTCCTATGGAATGGAGCCTGGCGTCTTAGTTACTCTAGGTTAAACTTAACCATGGCGTGTGGGCACGGACTGATGACAGTTAGGGATAAGCGGGAAAGACAAGAATTACTTTTCGGCAAATTGAAAAGTAAAACCGTGGGAAAAAGGACAGTTGGCATAAACGCTTTATGCTTGCGGCTTCATTCAGATATGTTGGTGCACTAGGTTGTAGTTCATCGTATCGCGTGCCTAAACAGGCTATTAGGCTATGCAGTGCAGAGTAAAAGCTTGCTTTGGTCGTGCGGTAAACGTTAGACGTCGTCAAAGGTGACGTTCAAAGTGCTGGTATAGATTAAGCGCGCTTTACATAGTTAGTAGGATGTAATGTATCGCATCCTGCACCTAAGATGCCGTTGTAACTACAGCAGTCAGACTAGATGCATGCTTAGTTAGCGCACACATAAACATTAACTGGCCGTTAGACCGGAGGATGGAATATCACAAGTGGCTGTCTACATCCATAAAAAGAGCCAGGAATATAATCGTCCACGCACGAAGCAAGAGAAGCCGCAAATTAATTAGAGCAGGGGCCTCAATCGGTTGATCGATCTGGCACTGTTAGGCACAGCCCACTACAAAAGGACGGAGCCACGCGCAGCGCCACGTGCCAAGTTGGCCACGGCATATTAGGCCGGAAAGCTAATTAGCGCGCAGGTCAATATCGACCATGGGCTGCTGATCGATAAGTCTATATCTCCCCCAAAATTGATATTCGCGCGCGAGTCGGCCAATCAATGAACGCCACGCCGCGGCCGGCAGCAATGTTCAAGAACGGCCAGAAATCCTTTAAATAAGTTAGAGTTGATGAGCTAACAAAAATCCGCTGTTTCTGTTCGCCTTGAATAAAGTGTTTTTTTTTTGCTGAGAAACTAGCACTTACGTCTTTTGCTGCCTAACTATCGGGGAATAACAGATACTGACTATTAGGGCTTTGTCCAGTCGCCTATGGTCTACCATTAATTATGTTTATTTGGCTCCTACCTCCCGTAGAACTACTGCTGGTTTTGTTCTGCTCTCATGGCTGACGACGGACTGCAGTTAACGGTCGAATACTCAAATAAATTAAAAAAAAACACTCATGCGATTATAAAGACTCCATCTTGTACTTACCGCTTGTGGCTATGTTTATGAGGAGGATGTCCAGATCATCGGCACAGGAAGGCTTTCCCTTGCACTCCGGCCGCAGATATCCGTCCAGGGTGAGCAGAAAGAGCCACTTGCGACTGAGGTTTTGCAGCATATGGGTACGCATGTCCGAGCGCACAGCGTAGGCCGCCTCGAAACGCAGCAGGACGCGGTGGTTGGGCACCTCCGGCAGACGTGGGTTCCTCTCCAACACCTCCACGAAAATACGTGAGACAGTGCTCACCGGCGAACTACCCATTAATCTGAGAACAGGCAGGAGAGGGAGAGAGAGGCGGAGACGTAAGATTTAAGGTTTCATGTTTTGCTAACCCTATTTTTATGCACATATGAAAAACCCTGACTGAAAGTGGAAAGGCAGCTCGAGTCCAAAATAATTCCGATAATTATAAGTTGTTTTTGAAATCCATACAGCATAACATTTAAAGACTACGTAAAGTTTTAAGGAAAGACGTTCTGAGGAAAACATGGTAAGTTCATTAAGTAAATATTCGACGCTGGATCTCCAGGCCATCGTCGGACTTGAGAAGATGTGCAACGAACAATAACAATTAAAAATTTTCAAACACTGAAAATTTCTTGAGACCATGCACTCTGATGATTCATGCGCAAACCGGCATATCGAATGGGATGGAATGTACAAAATCCCAAAGAAAGGTGGACAAGAAGAGAGCTGATCGATACAGACTGACGCAAATGGCAGCCGCCAATTAGCGTTCACACAATTTGACCATAAATATTTTAGCACTTCTGCCCCCCGCCCCCAAACCTCTAGTGCGACATTCCCAGCCTCACTTCTCATTTAGTCGACGACGAACAAGTTATACGTACTCGAAAATTCACAAGTACAATTCGATTTTCCGAATATTTTCGTTTCATATTTTAGCACGTTTGAAATTTTAATTGTTCATTGCGCATCCTCTCAAGTTTAACAACAACCTGGGGATCTAGCATCGAAGTTTTGCTGAATAAATTTACATTGTTTCCCAAAGAACCTCTTTCCTTCAAAGTAAACTTCTTGCGATACCTACTTTCAGACTTATACGAATGAACCGCGTAAAGTGCTACCGTTATAAACTCAACGACGTCAGGAATCATCTTTTTCTTTCGATAAAGAAGTTGACAGAAAACTACCGTTTCTTGGAGGCCTCTTGCAATGAAAGACTGACATAACATTTCAAACATCAGTGTACCGCAAGAAAAACGGATGTCACTCACAAACGGAGTACTGTTAACGCCCTAATCATTCGAGCGAAAACGCGCTGTTCTGGCACCGAACCTTACCAGAGCTAACTTAATTACCTGTTCAAGCTGTTTTCCAAAAGTGGTTACCCTTGGGAATTTGTGCATTGATGCATGGGGCGAAAGGAGTTCAAATAAGGGGAAAGGGGAACCAACTTGTTCCGATCATGCGCCCAAACCGGAAAGGAGAGAGAGGGAGACTGGAGACGTAAAGATGTTTACCAGGCCAATTTAATTGTTATGTATGTAGCATGGAAATCCCCAATGTAGGTGGAAAGATCGTTTGGTTTCAGGATTATCCGAGTATTTGAAATTGTTTTTAAAATCGAAATATACCCTTCCATAAATTATACACTTCAAATAATACGCAAAATGCTAACAAAGGAGTACAATATAAGCGAATTTTGCGTTTTCTATAAAGAACGTTTGAAGGACATCGAAAATCACTGGGGAATGTCACACCTCGTAGGTAACTAGCAAGGCAACGAGCCCGTTGTGTAGCGGTTAGAGCGTTGGACTCCTCTTCAAAAATGTTCTAGCTTCGGAGGTAGCTGCCCCTGGGATTGAGTAAGGCTGGCTAATGAAGATTACTACACCAGAAATGACCATTGCACTCTCCCTTGTCTTTGTCGTTAGCGTCATTCTGCGTGTAGTATTAGCCACTGTGCTGATGATTCCGCGGCTCGAAAGTGAACCCCAAGGCATAACGGAATGAGTACCGTACCCAATCGGTGAAGAGCTTGATATCATTGTTCAGATGCTGGATTGAAACAGGCTAGACAACGAGCCCATGGCGTTGAACTTCTACCTATTAAGGC